TTGGACGTCTAATCTTTCTTTCTCCCTGCCATGGGAAGAGGCATCGTGGAAAGAGCTTTCGACCGGAGTTGCTTTCGACTCGAGACGGCGATTTCCGCCGCCAATAAAAACCTCGCTCGCGCATAATTTAGCGCTCTGTAGGGTAATACAACCCCACCCAGAGCGGAACCACCGTGCTGCAACCCCGCAGCACGAGAAACGCGGCCGAGGAGCAACGATAAACGCTAACTCTCTGGATATTGGAACGATGCCAGCCGTGGTGCCTTCGTTCATAAATCCGCGCACGTCCCGCGCCACTACTCAGTCGACCGAATGCAATCGTGATTTCGCCTCTCTAAAGAGAGAGAGAGAAAAAAAAAGAAAAGGCACAACTTCTCGCTTGGAGTTGGAGTTGGAGTTGTGCTCCAGGTGACGTGGAGAGATCACGAGTTTAGAGAGGAGATTAGGTGGTTGGAATCGGAGAAAGTTTCGGGCAAAGATTCGGGAGGGAAACGGAAGAGGGGTGGGTTTGGGTCTTTTTGGAGATATTTCGGGCGAGAGAAAGGAAGGGAGAACGGGTGCTGGGAGAATGATGGATTAGCAGGCGGATTTAGGGAGAAGATTGTGGGGGAGGAGGGGAGGGGACGAGGGAAAGTTTTGCTATTCGTCGTCGTGGCTGAGGAATGAGATTATATTTGGGGATTAGGGTTAACGTGGAGTTATTAACTTTGATACGTAGCTTATTTGTAGCGTGCCCTATTGTTCGTGAATTGCCAAGGTCATTTGTAATCTGGAACGCGACGAATGTTGAATTGAAGGGTTAGGGTCTTCGATCTTCGAGAATGATAGTGTCAGGTTGACAATTTTCTTGGAATTCTCTATTACTCTATCTATTGGTTTTAAATATAACTTACTCGCAAAACGCACAAGATAGCTTTTATTATCATTCAAAGAACCGATTTTATTATGGAAATTCGTTGAGTCATTCTATTTATGTATTATCGTACAAGAATAATCAACTTAATTAAGAAACACGAGGAACTCTTAGAAAGAGAAAAACTGTGTGTTTCGATTTAACATCGAGAGTTCGTAATCGTGATCAGCAACGAAAAAAGTTTTTAAGATAACCTGATATAAAATTCTCCTTAAAAGAAAATCAAGATGAGAGGATTCCAAAGGATATTCGACACGAGTCAAACGATTCTCAAAAACTTTCATCTCTCATCAAAAAGAAATCGATCTTCGAAAGACACCAACGTGCAGAACGTCAAAAAAAGAAAATCAAGATGAGAAGATTCCAAAAGATATTCGACACGATTGTCAAAAACTCTCATCTCCATATTCTCAAAAATCTCGAGAAAAAGAAAAATCGATCTTCGAAAGATACGAACGTCAAAAAAAGAAAATCAAGATGAGAGGATTCCAAGGAATATTCGACACGAGTCAAACGATTCTCAAAAATTTTCATCTCCATATTCTGAAAAATCTCGAGAAAAAGAAAAATCGATCTTCGAAAGACACGAACGTGCGGAACGTCAAAAAAAGAAAATCAAGATGAGAGGATTCCAAGGGATATTTGGCACGGGGCGAACGATGTCAAGAGCAGAGACGCAGAGCGGTGCAAAAGGAAATTTTCCAGTGGAAATCTTGCTCCACTCTTGGCAGCCGACCTTTACGAGATTCTTGCAGCGCGCGAGGTTAATGGCGCAGGAAAGACGCTATAGTCGCCGGCGTCTCCGGCCTCTTTTACGAAGTGGATTACAAGTTCGACGGACACGTTTGGTCGGAACGAAAGCGTGGGCTACGTTTGGCCAACGTCCAAACCCGTATCGCGACGGAGACCTCCTTATCTGAGAGCCGAGAAGCGTTATCGTGGCTCGGTCTGCTTTGCGACACGCCTTCCACGGAATCGTATTATAGCTGGTCGGGCAAGGCCGAGGTGACGATCGTTTCCGATCCATACGTCGCGTTATTGCGGCCTGCTAACTGTGCATGGAATATTAAAAGTCCTGTCCCCTGCGTTAGAGCTGCCTTAGAGACGGTGAGACGCATCCTTCGTGGAAGGATTAAGCAAGCGGCGGCCATGAACGCTCGACGAACGAGATATTGCGTCTCCCAACAAGTTACACCGTTCGTTGCTCGATTGTGCGGTCAAGTCGATGAACAATTCGATCGATAGGATGATTGTGTACGGTGATGAAACATTTTAGAACTTTTTTTTATCCAGAATTGCATTGGATAAGTTTGGGAAGCGGAAGATTCTTCGAATATTATTTCGATCGATAAACGAATAAATTTATAGAGAATCTATAATATTGTCGAAAGTAATAGGAAGATATAAGATTTGGAAAAGAGAATTTTTACATTTTGACATTTGTTGGAATGTGAATACGACCAACATCAATTTTACATTTTAAATTTAATTTGTGATAAAACATTTATATATATATCATTGCGTGTAGAGATAATAAATTCGTTCACTTTTTATTTTACCTCGAAAACTGTTGAAAATTTTCGAACGTATATAATCGTCTCGAAAGTTTTATATCGTATAACAAGAGGATCTTTTCGAACCCGGCCACCACATGGAGTTCCGGTTCTTACGCAATCCGCGCGTGTAGTTTCGCATGCATAAGTCGCGGTGCTCGAAGCAGCGCGTGAGGGGTAGGAGGGGAAAGAGGGAAAGGAGGACGGAGGAAGGAAGGAAAGAAAGAAGGAAAGAAAGAATCGCATGCACGCACGCGTACCGACGCCAGAAAAGTTTTAATGACGGCCCTTCCCCATTATGCACGCGATAGTCGCGCTTTTTTCCCCTCCCCCTCCCCCCTTGCCGATGCTCCTCAAATAGAGGGACGCGCAAGAAAAACGATCGAGCTTCCTCGATCGTCCCCGCTCGACACAGATCATCCTTCCCCTCGTTTCTATTCTCGGACGAAAAATCGTGGAAACGGGGCCACGTTTCGAAACTCTCAGCAATTAGAGCTCGATTAGGATTAAAGTTTCGATCCAATCTTTTCGATATCTTGATTTCTTTTTTTTTTTTAATTCAGAAATCAAATTTTGATCAAATCTTCGTACCGATAATCGATCAACGTCACCGCAAAATACTCGCGGTCCATCGACTCCTCCCCTCCCCCTCGCAAAGCGAATCTCCGCAACCCCGCATCGTAAACAAAACAATCGAGCCTCGACCAAACCACAATTCGATCGTTCCGCGTCACGGTCGGTGAATCGCGCGACAATATTTGTCCTGGCGCGAAATCCCGGCTCCGGAGGGGGGAGGGGAGGGGAGAGAAGCGTAATTTTAATCGCGGCCTCGCTTTCGTCCACAACGAAGTCTAATGCCCAACGCGTCTAATTGGTCGATCGATTGGACAAATCGTTGGTAATCCGGCCGCGTAAGCTCTTTTTCCTCCGCAAAAAAAAAAAAAAAAAAAAAAAAACCGCTTCGCGCTCTCTCCCTCCCTAACATTTGCTCGCGTTCGTGATAAAAATCGCGTCGAGTCGCGTGCGCGTTTTTTTTTTTTTTACGATTTCCACCAACTTCGAAAAAACACGCTCGATTCACGGGAGGGGTGGCCAACCCCTCCAAACTATTCCCCGGAATTCTATCTACGATATAATTGTATGGAATAGAAAGGAGAAAGGCGAAAAAAAAAGGGCAAGGATTGGGGGAGGGAAAAAAGGAAAAGTAAAAAAAAAAGAGAGAAACGACAAGGGGGCGAAGCGATATCGTCCTCGATCACGATACTCTAGCCAGACGTGCGGATCTGATATCCGT